AGATCATGTCTGGCAGTTGTTTAGCCTATTATAGTGAGCTCGAAGGGCACTCGGGCTCTTGATGGGACCCAGTAGTAAGGAGAGAGAGATGGAGAGGGAGAGGGAGAGAGAGAGGGAGAGGTAGCGAGGGAGAGAGTGGAAAAGAGGGGGAGAGAGAGAGGGAGAGAGGGAGACAAGGAGACAGGAAGAGAGGGAGATGGGGGAGCAGGTAGGAAAGCAAGCAGGGTCACCCAGAGGGAAGGGCCAGGGCTCACTGCTCCTGGATTTTGGCACCAAATGTTAGAACAGGATTAAGCAGGGTGACATGAAATATGAAAGGCAAGACCAACCTCAACTGCATGACATGGGTGCACTTGCATACATGCAGACTAATACTCATACACACAAAAAAATTAATAAAATAAAAATCTCCATTCTGGAATTCACACAGCTAAGCTAGATATTATTGTTTCCCATTAACATTACTGTACGTAACACCTCTGACTTCAGGCTATGATGGTAATGGTTGCCGAGATTACTTTTGGCCTGGATGACCTTCTGAAATCAGGAGACTGAAAACACCTTCAGATTGTGCTAACTTCCCATTTCCTGAGTATGCATCCCATCAGGAGCCATGAAGTTTGACTATGCATGTATAGACAGCAGATTTCTTCCGACCATACCTTCCCCACACATTAAATCATCCTGTTCTTTATCCTATAAATACCCCTATGCCTGACATATGAGGTAGTGTACCCCTGCAATCCCAGCACCTGGAAGGCAAAGGCATAGGATTTCTATAAGTTCAAGGCCATCCTGGTCTACACAGCAAGTTTCAGGCCAGCCAGAGCTTCATAGTAAGACCCTGTCTCATAAAGCAAAACAAAAGGAAATAAAATAACCCGAACCCTATCCATGGGGAGAAATATTTGAGACCTGGATGACCATCTCCTCCCTACCACCACCATGTTCACCTGCCTTTCAAAGAAACTCCTTCTCTTTTACAAAACCCATTGTCTCCATGATTGGTAATTTGGACCAACAAAAATAGAACTTGTTTGGTAATGAAATAAAGCTTTCACTGTCCATATTAAATCACTTTCATCTTTCAGAACCTGCCAAAATACCATCAGCACTGTCACCATCATCACCATTACTCCATCTTTGCACAATTCTGATTTTTAGGACATGCTTTATTTTAGGAAGTTTAAAACCAGAACTTTTAACTGAAAGATGGAAACTTTGCAGGGCCTGGTGGTACGCACCTATAATCCCAGGCTTCAAGAGGCTGCAACAGGGGAATCCTGAACCCAAGTCCAGCATGGGGTACATAGCAAGACCATGTCTCAAGGAAAAGAGAAAAGGGGGAAGAAAGAAGACTGGCATGAGGGAGGGAGAGAGGGAGGGGAAAGAAGGGAAGTAATGATTTTAATTAAATAGAAGAAATGCCACCAAAAAAGCATCTACAACCTTGCAGACACTGAACACTCATACACACCCCAGAAGCTTCCAGGCTTGCTTGCCTGTGACACTATTTGCATTACCTGCCCTACCTCATTCCTAGCATTGTCTGCTGCCTTCATCCCCTCTCTGGGGTTCCAGTACATACAAGGTTCCTTGCTATGCAGTTTCCGTTGAAGTAAGTGATCTTCTGACCTCCCCTCAATGTGCCCTTACCTCCCCCCGCCCCCCACACACACCAACTCCTGTCACCAGCCATGGAGCAGCAGGTGGAGGCATCTCATGCTAGCCATTGCCTTGGGCATAAGAAGGGGGTGTCTAAGGTCTGTGAGCTGGTTTTCTGAGTCTTTTCAAAATCTTGCTACAGAGCACCTGCCACAAACACCACCAACACTCTCCAGCTGAGGGACAGAACAGACCTGAAAGGCCTGGGATGGGCTCTGAAGTGGAATCAAAGCCACAAGGCAAAAGTGGAGTCCCTTCTTTTAGGTCTATGAGGAAGGGCAAGTTCAGAGCATGAACTTGCAAGCCAGGCTCTCTGATTCTCCAGCAGGCAGCAGGGAAGGGAGGCAGGGAAGGGAACAAGGTGCATGACCATATGTAGCTTTCTGATGTGTCTGAACCTGCAAACGCACGTTCCTAAGTGAGAAATCTGGGTACCTAGGAGTGTTAGCTAGAGATTCACAGACAGCCCTTTCCATAGGGTTTTTGTCTATATCTGTAGAAGGGGAGGGGCTGCTGCAGGTTTTGTGGCCTAAGCGGCCTCCTGGTCTGGAGTCTAACAAGCCTGCCCAGATCTTTCTGAAAGTTTTGAGTTCCTCCCCCAAAACCCAGGGCAACTCTCAGAGGCTCTACGTTCCCCATAGTACTTGTTTATGCACAGGCCAGTCCTCCTGCCTGGTCATGCTCAAGCAGGGTCCCCTCCCCAGCAGTGGGTGGGGCTCTGGAACCAACTAAAAGCCTCAAGCACCTATACTGTTGTACCAGCCCAGTCAGTCTGGCACAGTCATCCTCTTTTTAGTGGAAGTTCCCTGCTAGAAGAAAGCTGCAACAGGAGCATCAGGTGGGAGGTGATTGCACCACGGCCACCCAGTGCTTACTTGTCCCCAGGAGTCAGCTGTTTATTTAAGGAAGGCTGAGGTCCAGACACTCAGCCATGATAAAGAGAGGTTTCCAGGTGGCAGCAAGATTTGGCCACCACAAACCTCTCCCCAGGAACCCCCAGATCCTGCCCAGACTCCACCTGGTCTCAGCATTTGGATCCTCCACAGACTCCCTGGTAAGTTCCCAGCTCAGTTGGGGATAGGCACTCTTTCTCTCTGGGGACCTAGGGTTTAAGGAGTACCCCAAATCTTTTCTCCCTGGCTTGTATCCAAGATGATGAGGAGCCATGTGATTTAGCAAAGGGAAGATTCTTTGTAGTACCATGTAACCCATATCCCAAACTAAATCCATCAGGACACTTGGGTCCTGGTCTGAATATTGCGGCCATCAACAAATCTCCTGTGGGGTTCACACTGCAACAGTTAAGCTTTGTGTCCCCAGACAGAGATTTCCATCTATGGTCTTGGCAAGCAGCTTGCTTATTATCCACAGTAGTGACTGCTGCATGAACAGGTGACACTACAGAGGAGTTCTTTGTTCCTTGTCTGACAGCTGAACACATTGCTTTCACTCTGACCATGATATCACAACTCCATGGGGCCTGAATGCATTTCAAAGGAGCTGCCAGACAGGCCCACAGAGCCTGAATAGTCCCTGTGGTGAGGGGCTAGAAAAGCATCTCTCACCAACTGTGGTCTTGTGCCTCAGGGAGACAGTGTCTAGCCCAACCATCAGCTCTCTCTCAACCTTGGCGACCTCAACCATATTTCCCCGATTTTCCCATCTGTACAAGAAGGCTAATAGTAGCAGCTCTCTACTTCAAAGAACTACAACAGTGTTAAGCAGAATAAATGTAAATACTCCACCCCCGCACAGCATAGCTGGAATGGCTAGCCCCTGCCCCTCTCTTCCGCTCCTTAGCATCCCTTGGCCACTCAGCCACAGGGGTCCCCAAACCCTCTACGAGGAAGATGGGCTCCTTCCCTCAGGGTAATGCTCCAGCAGACAGAACTGAAAAACCCCAAACTCAGAAACAGACTTCTGGTGGTCCCATAGCCCAAGTCAATCCCCACCCTCCAAGATATCATTATCGCTCCTTGATTTTTCCTGCCCAGGTCGCAAGATTCTGTCCAGAGAAGACAGATTTTAAGGATTATGCCCTTCCTAATGCTAGCTGGTGTCCAGACATGCTGAGCTTGTACCAAGAATTTCTGGAGAAGACCAAGTCGGACAGCTGGATCAAACTGCCCTCCTTCAAGTCCAACAGAGAACACATCCGAGGGCTGAAGCTTCCATCCGGGTTGGTAGTCGCTTCAGGTAAGACTAGGCAAGGAGGGGCCCAGTGTTATACCCAGGCAAGAGAATTACAGATCACAACCACACACATAAGGGAAAGGAGTCCTTTATCGATTAGCATGTGACTAAGAGTGGCTAATGCCTTTGAAAATTTCTCAGCGCTAAAGCTCAGGAGTACAGGGTTTATAGAGGGGGAAAAAATACACACACACAACAGTTTGGACCAGATGGAAGTCAAAGAGACCTAGATACAGTAGTTATTTTGGTTAGACTCTAGCAGTTGTTTTGGTTATACTTTTAGGCGTGGTGGTGAAAAGTCTGCTTTGCTGGGGAGGCTAAGAAGAATGTCAACCTGGTGGAACCTGGAGTCAGGACTGGCCCAGGGCAAAATGGAATTTTTTCTGTTACTTCATTCCCCCCATTTCTTCTTAGGGGCCTTCGAATCCTTGACTGTGGTTAAGGGGTTAATAAAAGTCTCCCTTCATTGGGAATGGAAGCATCAAGTGTCAGTCTAACTTCTTCAAGCTGAGGGAGGTTATTGGGGAGGAGGAGGTTCAGGGTTCATTGGAAGAGGCCATCCTCTGGTGACCTGGAGCAGGAACATAGTTTTGATCTGGTCTCGGGTATCAGCTTGGGCAGTCGTATGAGCTGCTGCAGTCAAACAATTTTGTAAGAATCTTTGTAGACAGTTGATTAAGCACAGTGCAATGGTTTGGAATAGTAGTGGGCTTGTTTCTCTTGGCTGCAGGTAGGCCCTGCAGTGTTGAATTAGATTTGAAGTAGCATTTTTTATTAATACTAAAATTATTAGTCCTTAAAAAACATACCAGACAGCTGGGCGTGGTGGCGTATGCCTTTGATTCCAGCACTCGGGAGGCAGAGGCCGACAGATCTCTGTGAGTTCAGGGCCAGCCTGGTCTACATAGTGAGTTCTAGGCCAGCTGGAGCTACAGGGAGACCCTGTCTCAAAAAGACAAAAAAAAAAAAATTACTTTAATTTTTGTTATACTTTCCTGTTGGGTATTTAAAAACATTCAGAAAACTGGGGCTGAAGAGATGGCTCAGCAGTTAATTTAATTTTTGTTATACTTTCCTGTTGGATATTTAAAAACATTCAGAAAACTGGGGCTGAAGAGATGGCTCAGCAGTTAAGAGCACTAGCTGCTCTTGCAGAGGACCTGTGTTTGATTCCCAGTACCTACATGGCAGCTAACAACCATCCAAAACTCCAGTTCCAGGAGAGTCCAACGCCCCCTTCTGACATCCGTGAGCATTGCATGACACAAGTGAACCTATCTACATGTAGACAATACATTCATATACATAAAATGAAAATAACAATTTTTTTTTTAACCACGCAGAAAATTGGACTGGAGAGATCAGCAATTAAGAGCACTGACTATTCTTGCAGAGGACCTAGGTTCAATTCCCATCACTCACATGACAGCTAACAACCATACTGTTTCAGGGAAATATGATGCCTTCTTTGAGGGCATTGTACAACACAGGTGTACTTACACACATGCAGGCAATATACTCACACATATAAAATAAAAATAATAAATAAAAAATTTAAAAACTATGTAGAAAACTAATTTTCTTTTTATTGTTAAGATCAGATGAGAACCTGGTCACCAGGGGTCACTTGGGCTGTCGGGGGAGCCCCTGGCTCCTTTGGCTTTTCTTTTACCAGCTCCATCTATATGAGGATGAGCCTTGCTTGACTATGGTTCTGTTTAGGTGTTGACTCTCCTCTTTGTAGACTGGACACTAGTTAGAGTCCATCTAGTGGGTCCTTCATGGCCTTCCTGAACAAGAGGACGGGTGACTCATCACAGTTACAGGACATTTTGAGATGTCCCATCGTACCCTGGGACTTAATTGACCTTGGAGGGCAAGGAGCAAAATATTATTCCTTTAAGTCCCTCTGATCAGATTGGTATAAACCTCCAAATATGATTATTAAACATCCAAGAAGGTTAGTAACACCAGTCTGGTACTTTTCTTTTTTTCTGGTCTTTTTAAGACAGGGTCTCCCTGTAGCCCCAGCTGTCCTGGAACTAACTATGTAGACCAGGCTGGCCTTGAACTCACAGAGATCCGCCTGCCTCTGCCTCCCGAGTGCTGGGATTAAAGGCATGCACCACCATACCCGGCTACTTACTTTTAATTACAGTGTAACATGTAGCTAAAGCTTGAACAAAATCCTTAAGCTAGTCTTTATAATTGTTAATAAGAACTAATTTAAGTAGAGATCTGACTGAACCGTGACCTTATAAATTTTAAGAAGGCTGTTCTATTACAAACAAAATAGTCTCTTTTCTTTATCAGCCCTCCATATTCTGATTTGTGGTCTTTCAGAAGAAGGGGGGATTATATCACATACCTATAGACAGAAAAATCAGTTGATCAGAATCCAAACCAACTTCACAGAAATTGCTTTTTTTCTTTCTTGAACTATACCCATCAGGTACAAGGAAGTAAAACCTAGCTCCTCCTGAGCCAGATTTTCTTGTTATGGGCAAATGAAAGCACTGTGTCCTATTGACAACCTAAAGCATATTTCATAAGTTTTGTAAAAAATTCCAAAAGTAATCCATGCACATAGAAACACCAAAGACAATTGTCAGTAGCCACAGGTAACCCCAGTACTTACCTGTATCCATCCAATCTGAGGCTGGGTGTGTGGTGGTACAAGCCAGTGGGGCAGACTGAAAGTTTTTAGGGTATTTTGGGGGGCTGCAACAGCAATTATCATAGTAAACAACTCTGCATCTCTGCAGTGCCTGGCTACCAGGGCCCTCTTTTTTAAAAAAATATTTTATTACTTTTATTTTATGTGTATGAGTGTATTACCTGCATGTATATAAGTGCATCTGTGTCATACAATACCCACTGAGGTCAGAAGAGGGTGTCGGATCCCCTAGAACTTGAGTCACCCACAGTTTTTTAAGCCGACATGTGGGTTCTAGGAACCAAATCCAGGTCCTCTGCAAGAGCAGCCAGTGCTCTTAACCACTGAGCCATCTCACCAGCTCCTTCAGCCCCTCTTTTAGTTGAACACTATCTCTGTAAAGAGGAACAGGTAAGTTATCTTTTGTTCCAGCTACAAAGAAGCTCACAGTAACTGGAAGTCTTATTCAAGGCTTTTAGCTAAAGGGAGAAAACTGACAATAAACAATTCTTAAATGTTCTCCCATAAGAAAGAACTGCACAACTATAAACTCATTATGCAGACCATCCCAGGCAGTGATCAATTTGCAGGGACTAAAGGTGTGTGTCAACCATCCTGGCTTTCAACAATTCTCAACAAAAATTTTGTCCTATTTATTAAACAAACAGAATGGTTTTTTTCCTCCAAATTTTGTCAACATTTATCAGTTTGGTGTGCAAGGTATACACCTTCCTGTAGTTCAAACATTTAAAGCATTTTTCAATTTGGCATTTATTTATTATCTAGTCAGTCAGCTCTTAATAAACCTGCTCAGACCTTCATTACTTGCTCAAATGTTCTTATTATTCCTTCTAGTCTGGAAACATCCAGCCATCTTAATCTTCATACATAAATCTTTCTTTACTAAAAGGAAAACTCCATATTCTTTTACCATTTTCTTTCACATTTTCTTTTTTTTTTTTTTTTTTGGTCTTTTTAAGACAGGGTCTCCCTGGAGCTCTAGCTGTCCTGGAACTCACTCACTATGTAGACCACCAGGCTGGCCTTGAATTCACAGAGATCCACCTGCCTCTGCCTTTCATTTCCTTTCTTAATACCATGAGACATAATAACATGCCTAAACAAATTTACCACCTGTTGTGAATTCACTTTCTGAATACTAAGTAATCAATGTTCGCCCTCTTTTTAGAAGTATTAAACCAATGTTTGATTACATTAAAGCTCACCGATGATTTTGCTGAGTTAACTTGCAGAGCATAGGTGAGCAGTTACTGACAGGTACATGGGTGACCTGAGAGCAGTTGCACAGGTTAAGTTTTTATCCAGCCTAAATGTTGATTTTCCCATAAACTGTAAAGTTTTCTGTGACAGATTGTCCATTTTCCCACTGGGAGGAGAGGGGACAGGCCACAGGGACTGCCTGGGCAAGAGGGAGAGGGAATGCCCACTGCCCACAGAGATTTGCAGAGGAAAGGGAGAGGGGCAACTCCCACTCTGCAGAAATGGGCAAGGCTCCCACCTGGAAAGAGTGAATCCATGAGTGGTGGTGTGGCTGAAGACTTCCGTCCTGAGAAGGAAAAGGGGGACAGTTCGACAAGGGCAAAGGAACTCTTCCTGAGGAAAGAAGCAAGTACCCTGGGTCGGCTTCCAGTCGCCACTAAGCCAACATGAGCTCAGAGGGCAGTCCAGCACTCCTGTCCTTGAAACAGATAACAAAAAGACAACACTGACAGAGTTAGTTTCCAAGTGCACTATTTCGGACCCAAGGGAAGCATTCGATCATTCATCTAACAGTTCAGTCAGCTATGCATTCAAACAAAACAAGTCCCAATTTCTCATGAGAGACAGAACCAGAAAACTGAATCCTGGGGGACGGCTCCCCATCAGGTCAGGCCTGTCTGAAACCAGAACTGATGTCAGCATACAGACTTACCTCCTAGGAGAGTTAGAAGGGACTCATTTTGGTGTCCAGGAATATGGCAATCATTCCAGACTTCTGGTCCAGTTAGGTGAAGCGAGGCCCTGAAACATCTTGGGGGGGGGGGGTATCTCGCTGAGGGCCTCCAATTATTATATCCAGGCAAGAGAATTACAGATCACCACCACACTCATAAGTCAATTAAAAGGGAAAGGAGTCCTTTATTGATTACCACGACTGAGTGCCTTTGAAACTCTCAGCCCTGAAGCTCAGGGGTACAGAGTTTATAAAGGCAAAAAATCATAACAGTTTGGACCAGATGGAGGTCAGAGAGACCTCACTACAGTAGTTATTTTGGTTAGACTTTTGCGGTTGTTTTGATATACTTCTAGGCCATAGTCGAGGTGGTGAAAAGTCCTGGATGCTTTGCTGGGGGAGGCTAGTGGCTGGGAAGAATGCCAAAGCAGGCAGAACCTGGAGTCAGGACTGGCCCAGGGCAAAATGGAGTTTTTTCCTACTTCTTCACCAGGAATGCACACACTTCAAACAGCATGGGTGGGACCCTGCCTGGGGCCCTTGGGTCGGTTCAGCCATCCCCCTTTCCCTGGTTCAAAGACATTCGAGAAGGAAATAAACAAGCCCCCTTGCAGGTCTCAGACTGGAAGCTCTTCTTGCTGTCTACTGCTCCCTCTTCTGCAGACGGTGTGGATGGGAAGCATGTCTGCTCAAGTCTCTCTGACTTCCTTCCTCCCTTGTGAAGGGAGCACACCCTGGTGGCATCTTTGTTCCCAGCTGAAGTCCTGCTGGAAAGCTGCCAGTGCAGGGCTCTGCTTTTCTGACTGCTCACTCCTGGCTCTCGGTTCAGTCAAGCCTTATCCCATAGAAACCTTTGGGCCTCCCTTGCTTACTGCAGGCCTCAGCACACTCTCCTGGTTCAACTAGGTCAGATGACAGCCTGAGACTACATGGGATGGGCAGAACTGCCGCTTTTTCCAGTCTCTCTCTCCCCATCTCTCTGCCTCTCACTCCCTCCCCCTTCTGTGTGTGTGTGTGTGTGTGTGTGTGTGTCTACCTGTCTTTTTTTTCCCCATTCATACACACGTAGTTACTATTCAGTGAGGAATGGGTAACAGACAAAGCAGAGGCACTAAAATAAGTTCCTTTAAGAATTTGGTATTTCAAGGCCCGGCGAGGTGGCGCACACCTTTAATCACAGCACTCAAGAGGCAGAGGCAGGCAGATCTCTGTGAGCTCAAGGCCAGCCTGGTCTACATAGTGAGTTCCAGTACAGCTGTAGCTCAGTTGATAGAATGCTTGCCTAGCATGCACAAAGCCCTACATTTGGTCCCCAGCATTGAGGAAACCAGGGATGATGGCTCACACCCAGCACTGGAGAGGAGGAGGCTGAGTAGCAAAGGTTCAAGGCCATCTTTGGCTACACAGTGAGTTCAGTGCCAACCTGAGATACATGAGACCCATTTTTTTTTTCAGTTTATTTTTATTTTATGTGTATGGGTGTTTTGCCTGCATATATAAATGCATCATGTGTGTGCAATGCCCAGGAAAGTCAGAAGAGGGCATCAGATTCCCTGGAACTGAAGTTATGGACAGTTGTTAGCCACCATGTGGGTACTAGGAATTGAACCCGCATCCTCTGCAAGAGCAACCAGTGCTCTTAACCACTGAGCCATCTCTCCAGGCTCTAAGACCCTATATTTTTTTAATGTTTCATTTATTATTTTTATTTTATGTGTATGAGTGTATCACCTGCATGTATGTGAGTGCACCCATGTCGTGCAATGCCGAGGAGGTCAGAAGAGAGCTTCAGATTCCCCTGGAACTGGAATTAAGGATGGTTTGTAGTTGCTATGTGGGTGCTGGGTATTGAACCTAAGTCCTCTGCAAGAGCAGCCAGTGCTCTTAGCCGCTGAGCCATCTCTCCAGCCCAACCCTATATTTTTTAGAAAAAAATTGCTATTTCAAAAAACTATGTAGTTGTGGTAGTTGTCTTGGGGAGTCAGAACCTCAGTGGACTTTTCTGTACTCATTGAGTATTTAGTATTTATTTACTTCGTATTATATACAAATTACATAAGTAATCAGTTCTTCCTACAGTCTTTTAAAGTCATAACCTAGCCCCGATCCTGCCTCCACCCTCATCCAGGAATCTTTACGAGTGTTTGCTCCCTCAGACACAGAATCTCTAAAGAAATGTTTGCCTCCAGACGGAAGGCTGCCCGACTGTTGGGCCTGGGTGTCTTCTGTTTTTCCCTCTTTGACCTTGTACCTTGACCTTGTGCTCAACTTATAATGCCGCATCCTGATGGGGCCCCACACCCTGAAGCATCTCCAGCTTCAACATTGTTCGTCTCTCTCCAGACAAAAGTGACCAGCGCATCTTCACCAGGTGCATCCAAGATGAAGGACAAGGCTATGAATACGTCATCTTTTTCCACCCGTCCAAGAAGAAGTCAGTCTGTCTTTTCCAACCAGGCCCCTACCTGGAGGGGCCACCTGGGTAAGGCCTCAAACAAGCTAAGGTGGGTGCCTCCCAGACTTGGCTCAGCAGAGTAGGTCCAGCACCCTCCAGGCCCTGGCTCTCTAAGGAGCCAGGATGGGGGAACTGGGAACTAGGCGTTAGCCAGGGAACGGGCTTTAGCTTCTCAGTGTCAGGCCTGGAAGGATAATCTAGACTAACTGATCTAGGCTCCATTATACAGCTAAGGAAGAATGCCCCTTATAGAAGTCTCAGAATTTTGAAGCAAGAAAGAACCTGAGAAGCTGAGGATCCTTCCTTTTGAAGAAATCTCTGAGTAGACAGGGGTGGGAAGATGTGTGACTGAGTTTTATTAAGGGGTTTGTGGAGGTGATGTCAAAAAGGCAATGGCAGACAATCCAACACTGAGGCCAGTCAGAGGGTGCAGAAAAGAGACGAATGTCCACTGGGCCCCCAGGCAAGGGGAGTCGAAGGCAGTTGCTGGTTGGCCAAGAGCTGCTCTGCAGAGCCAGTACTTGACCATTGGATCCTCTCCTGGCCAGTGAGCAGAGAGGGAAGAGCAGGTCTGAGCTTCTTTGATAACAACTCTTTTCTCTCTTCACAGCAGTTGAAAGAAATACCCAGACATCTACATGAGATTTTTCAAACATTTTATTTATTTAATCAGTGAGATAGGAATTATTTTTTACTTGCAATACCTATTGGGAAAACTAAAGCTGAGAACGGGTTAGCAAGCTGCTCAAGATCACACAGGTAGTGGGCAGGAGAACAAGGAATCTACCCAGGTGGGTGGTGCCAGCACCCTGGCTCTCTCTAACACAGTGGGAGGCAAGGGCCTGGGAATTTTGCTGGTCACAGGAGTAACCATAGCAGAACAGCATGAACTGCTGACCTGGGTCTCTGGAGAACTGCTATTACTTTCAAACATCAGATGTTTTATGTTATTTTCACATTATAGTTGGGTGTCTGTTTTCCCCTAACTTAACCATAGTGACAAAGCTTTGTCATGAAGGTCAGTCTGCACAAGTAAGAACGAAGGTTTAACAAACTTTATTTAACTAAAGAAAATGTTTGTGGCATGATGCAGAAGTGGGCTCTTACCTTTTCCAGGCAGTGTTGGTCGGGAGTCCATTCTTGGCACTTTAATAAGTCATAAACTACATTTCACACTTAACCTGTCTTGAAACTGTGGGTCCAGCATTGACTGAGTGACTAGTGTAGGGTAAGAGATGACTGAAACCTATGTTTTAGAGACTAAGTCAAACCAGACACGGTGGCTCACACCTATTATGATTGCATGATTGCCATGAGTTCAAGGCTAGCTTGGGCTTCATAGTGAGACTTTGTCTCAAAAAAAATATATATATATATAAGAAAAAAACCCCACAACAAAAGACTAAGTCAAAAAATTCAGAGGTTTGAGGGCTGGAGAGATGGCTCAGTGGTTAAGAGCACTTGCTGTTCTTCCAGAAGACACGGATTCAGTTCCCTGCACCCACATTAGGTGGCTCTCAAAACTATCTGTAACTCCAGTTTCAGGGAATCTGCTGTCCTTTTTTGGCCTCCACGGGCACCTGCACAAACGTGGTACATATACAGACAAGGAGGTGCACACACATACACAAAAATAAAAATAAAATTTAAAAATATAAGAAAAGTGTTTTTCCCAGTCCTTTGAATGCATACAACCTTCCAAAATATGTCAACTGCTACCAGCAACTAGGTGATGAATCAGAAAAATGTTTTCCATTAATTCTATGAGAAAAAGTTCTCTTAGTGAAATAAAATAGCAGTTAAATAAGAGTGGTTATTAACACATGCCGAAGCAAAACAGAAGGAAAGGTCAGTTGATTTTTGACCAGTTGGATCTTATGGGATGGAGCTCTCTATCCTTCCTTGTTTGGCTACCTGAGATAGAAGGTCCGTGTTGGAAGACAAAGAGAGAGGGTTGGAAGTTTTGCTGCAGGGTGGAGGGAAGACCCGGGGAGGTGATCCACGCAGCAGTACCAGCCCTAGCTTTGTTCTCCACCCTGACCCCCAGGTTTGCCCATGGAGGGTCGCTGGCAGCCATGATGGATGAGACCTTTTCTAAAACTGCCTATCTGGCTGGAGAGGGGCTGTTCACCCTAAGTCTCAACATCAGGTTCAAAAAGTAAGTATGGATCCTCGATCCTCTGGCCATGGCCAATGTCATGACCCTGTTTATCATGGGGGTGGTGCCTAAGCTCTGCAGTTCAGGTGTGCAAGTCCTGCCTGCCTCTCTCTTTTCCCAGCCAAGCATTCCTCCAGACCTTGGTCAGAATGCAACCTCGGCCATTCAACACTGGGAGCCAACAAATAGCTCCTTGAGGCAGGGTGAGGTGAGAGGAGGGAGGCCAAAAGTGGGGAGGAGGTATAAAGAGCCAACCACTTCCTCTTCTAGCTTGATCCCGGTGGGCTCTCTAGCTGTCCTGAATATCCAAGTAGAAAAGATTGAAGACCAGAAGCTTTACATGTCCTGCATCACCCACAGCAGAGATGAGCAGACCGTGTATGCCAAGTCCTCAGGTAAAGAAATCCTCCACCTCAGCCCCAGGCCTGGGCTGCCACACTAACCCAGAATAAATGGAAAGGGGGAAGAAAGCTAACCATCCAGTTCCACCCTGGGGCCCAGTATTTTTAGGAGTGAGATTGGGTAGTTACTAGAGACACAAATGAAAAGAAGGAAACCCAAACTACAATGTTCTTCTAAGTAGGAATTAGCCAACCTGCACCACAGAACAGTGCCACGTAATGGGTAATTTGGAGCAAAATGCTCCATGCCCCTCAGCAAGCTCCTGATCTTGTGGTCCTGGTTCTCAGCACTCAGCTCACACTTTCCTTGTAGGCGTTTTTCTGCAGCTGCAGCTGGAAGAAGAGTCACCCCAGGAGCAATGACTACGGCTTCAGCAGCACTGACACTGACAGCCCTACGTGCCTGGTACCAGCACATAGCAGAAGGGGTCCCCAGGAAGCAGATGGCAAATGAGGGAGAGGGAAATTTCTCTGAGTAAATAAACTCTCACTACCCAACCCATACTTAGCCCAAGACCCTTCTATAGCTGGAATCCAAATCCTCCCAAAGCCTCCTGATGCCCTCCTCCCCTTCAGCACCAACAGGGGAGATGCACTGACTGAGGCACCCAGGACATGACAATGAAAGACAGGATGACTGGCTTCAAGGTACACACCTGAAGGGCACAGGGTGCCCTATCAAGGCACTCCCACCCTGTCCTGGTTCCTGTTAGGAGATCAATGTATGTCAGAGAGGCAGGTTCATTTTACTCTTGAACATGAGGAAATCTAGAGGAAACTGTGCCTGAACTGAATTCAACTCAAAAGTTGAGTAGTGTAGCTGGGGGTGGTGACCCATGCCTGCAATCCCAGCACTGGGGAGGCTGAAGTAGAAGGATCATGAGTTCCAATCTATCCTAAGCTATATAGTGAGACCTTGTCTTAAAACAACAGGGGGCTAGGGAGATGGCTCTGTGGGTGTATTAATTACTTTTCTGTTGCTATGATGAAACCCCATGACTTGTAGAAGGGAGAGTTTATTTGGATTTACAGTTCCAGAGGGATAAGAGTCCATCGTGGCAGGCGGCGTGGTGGCACAGGTGGCTGGAACAGAAATGAGCACTCACACCCTCAACCGCTCACAGGAACAGAGAGCCAAACTGGACATGGGGCAATGCTACGAACTTTCAGAGCTTGCCCTCAGTGATGTGCCTCTTCCAGCAAGGTCACACTTCCTAAAGATTCCATGACCCCCCTCAAACAGCACCAGCAACTGACCAAATATTCAAATACTTGAGTTTGTGGGGGACACTACTCATTCAAATTCCCACAGCGGGTAAAGTGCTTGCTGTGCAAGCAAGAGGACCTCAGTTCAGATCTCCAACACCCACATAAAAATGGGAGTGACAACAAGCATCTTTAACCCCAGCCGACGGCTAGGGTGGAGACAGCTGGATCCTCAGGCTTTCTGGCCAGCCTGTGTAGCCTGAATAACAAGCTCTGGACTCAGTCAGAAACTCTGCCTTAAAAAACAAGGTTGGAGCTGGAGAGATGACTCAGCAGTTAAGAGCACTGACTTCACACACACACACACACACACACACACACACACACACACAGTGTACAACAGTGGTGGGCTGGGAATATAGTTCAGAGGTAGAGCACTTGCCTAGGATGCATAGACCCAGGGTTCCATCACCAGAACTGCAAAAAATAGATAAATAAATAAATAAGTGGCACCCAGCAGGCAGGAGGGAAGAGGAGGATCTTCCAAGCAGCGGGAGAAGAGCACAGGGACTTTAGAGAACCCCAAAGGACTGAAGAGTGCGAGGAACTGAGGAAAGAGAAGGCAGCAGGGTAGCAGCAGGCATCAGAATCCCTGATGTGGAGACGGAACTTTTTCTGGTAGCAACAGGAGCCTCAAAGAGTCCAGGCTGGGGAGCAGCATAAAGATCTGTTTTTTTAAAAGATGACTCATGGCAGGAAAGGGTCAAAAGATGGAGCACTGGTAGGCTGGGCGTGGTGGCTCACGCCTTTAATCCCAGCACTCAGGAGGCAGAGGCAAGCGGATCTCTGTGAGTTCAAGGCCAGCCTGGTCTACATAGTGATTTCCAGGACAGCTGGGGCTACAGGGAGACCCTGTCTCAAAAAGACCAAATGGAGCACTGGTTAGGAGACCTCTGCAAGGCCTTGTGCTAGAGACTCAGAAATATGAGAGCTTCAGGAAATAAAAGAAGTGCAGGACTTTCCACCAATTGTATGTTGCATACCTATGAAGGAGCACTGCCTGGCTTGGGGTTCCAAGAGGCATTCCTAGGAATGAGAAGAGCAGGTATGAAGTGGTGGGGGAGGGATGAGCTCAGTGCATCATGCATTGGGTTGGAAGTACCCATTGAACTTCCACAGTGTGGGAAGCACACACAAGGTCCTGAAGGTTGTGACAGGGAGTTTGGGAGAGATGAGCTACTGACTCAGCTTGTGAGTCCATATAAAAACCAAGGTGAAACTGCTGGGAGGAGCTAAAGCGGAGTAAATGTGCAGAGGATGCAAGAGTGCAGAGAAGCGAGGTGATGGAGGGACAAAGAAGGTCAAAGATAGTGTTGACCCACACTAAAGCTTAAAGGTGGGGTAAAAGAATAAAGACCCCAAAGAGGCTGAGGAGAGGGCACGGCAAGGAAGATAACACGAAAAGGAGGCACTGGACATGGCATTAAGGAAAGGTGGGCACAAAATCTGTGTGTGCGTGGTGCGTGTGTGCGTGTGTGCATGTGTGTATGTGTGTTTATGTGTCTATGTGTCTATGTGTGTATGTATGTGTGTATATGTGTGTGTATGTGTGTCTGTGTGTGCCTGTGTGTGTATGTATGTGTATGTGTGTGTATGTGTGTGTGTTTATGTGTTTATGTGTGTATGTGTGTATGTGTGTATGTGTGTGTGTCTGTGTCTGTGTGTGTGTGCACATGTATGTGCTTCATATTATGTGTGTATGTGTGTATGTGTGTCTGTGTGTGTATGTATGTATGTGTATGTGTGTATGTGTATGTATGTGTATGTGTGTATGTGTGTGATTGTGTGTGTATGCATGTGTGTATATGCGTGTGCAAGTGTATGTATATGTGTGTGTATGTGTATGTGTTTGTGTGTGTGGTTTTTTGAGACAGTCTCCTGGTAACCCTAGTTGGGCTGGAACTTGCTATGTAAAGCAGGCTGGCCTCGATCCCACAGAGATCCATCCACCTGGCTCTGCTGGAATCAAAGGTGTGTGCCACCACACCTGGCTCCAATGTATATTTTTCTTTCTGGGAATTTTGTTATTGTTCTTCAAGGACAGGAATTTGACCGTATTTATGAATTGGTTCAGAAAAAGCTAGTCGAAAAAAAGCTGAAAACTTTGGGAAGAGACAACAGCTCTCTGGTCTTTGAGATGGCTCAAGAGCACAAAGGGAGTTAGGAGTCACAGGGCAGCATCAGAGTGGCTCTGACAGCAAACATGGCTGTTAACAAGAGTAGCACCAGAACTGAGGGAATGTAGAAACCTCAACCTCCTCAGTGAAACTAGAGGCATGGCTTCTGGTGCAGAGAGAGGCCTGATGGAAGGAAGATTTGGGAAAAAAAAAATGCTGGGAAATCAAGAAAAATAAGTTGGCCAAGTACATGTATGACCAAGTCATGCTGAGGACCCCACTGCTAGTGGAAAACAGGTACCACTCTGAGTGAGATGAAGGTGGAGCCAGCTGGCAAGGCCCAGGGGTGGTGGCAGATAAACCTGGCAAGAGCCATGGTAAAGGAAGGCAGCATGGCTGGTACTCAGTTCTAAGGCGGGAATGTTTCCTATGGAGAACAACAAGATGTAGAGGAGGCAATGGCCACCTAGGAGGAATCTATATCACCTCAGAACCTGGGGGAGAAAGGGGTTTCCACAGGGCAGACTGCCAAGGGATGAGGATTCCTCTTTTAGAACCTTTAAGTCATTACTACATTATGGCCAGTAGGTGGAGATAATGTTCAGAAGAAGTCAAAATTAGGAAGGGTTCAAAAGGCCCTACCACAGAGGGGGTTTTTTTGTTTTTGTTTTTGTTTTTGTTTTTGTTTTTTTGTCTTTTTGAGACGGGGTCTCCCTGTAGCCCCAGCTGTCCTAGAATTCACTATGTAGACCAGGCTGGCCTTGAACTCACAGAGATCCGCCTGTCTCTACCTCCCAAGTGCTGCGATCGAAAGCATGTGCCACCATGCCCAGCCACAGAGGATTTTATTATTAAAGACAGTAAAGTCAAATGCTGCAACATATAAACCTTTAAACCTTTCATAGCTTCACCCATATCTTCAATAGAAGGACATTTCTCACTCTAGATGGTAGTGTCCTGGAGTCAGTCATTCCTGGCTGACAAAAGTGCTTCCATATTCAATACATGGCTAACCAAAGTCATACTGGAATTTGGAAATCAGGCTTCAAAACTGTTGAAGTGTCCAGAAAACTTAAAGGGAGTTTGTTAGAAAATGTAATCTTACTCTGTGTTAAAGAAAGGTACTGAGCATGGTGGCACATGCCTTTAGTTCCAGCATTTGGGAGGCAGGTGAATCTCTGGTTTGCATAGCAAATTCCAGGTCAGGCTGGTCTACATAGTGAGACCCTGTCTCAAAAAAAAAAAAAAAAAAAAATGAAGATAGAGAGAGAGAGAGAGAGAGAGAGAGAGAGAGAGAAGAGAGGAAAATATGGCAACTCTCTCTTGAGAAGCCTGTATCCATATGTTATGGCTGTGCACTGTCATTTCCCTAGGCACCTCTTTCTCTGCCTTACTGCCCATACCTAAAGCTGTTAAAATCTTTCTGTAATAAACTTCAATTTCACCTCATTAAAAAAAAAAAAGTCGGGCGTGGAAGTGCACGCCTTTAATCCCAGCACTCAGGAGGCAGAGGCAGGCAGATCTCTGTGAGTTCAAGGCCAGCCTGGTCTACATGGTGAGTTCCAGGACAGCTGGGGCTACAGGGTGACCCTGTTTCAAAAAGACCAAAAAAAAGTTAGAGGGGCTGGAGAGATGGCTCAGTGGTAAAGAACAGTGGCTGTTCTTGCAGAAGACCTGGGTTCGAATCCCAGCACCCACATGGCAGCTAACACCTGTCCATAACTCCAGTCCCAGGGGATCCAACAGCCTCTTCTGACCTCCGTGGGCATGACATGACACGGTGCACTTACCTACATGTAGGCAATATAGGCATACACATAAAAAATAAATTTAAAATTTTTTTTAACAAGTTAGAGATGGCCCATCACAAAGCCACGGACTTGAAGCACAAGCAGTTCCAGAGGTACTTGGGGAAGTCAGGGGTGCTGGACACACTGGTAAAAGTGCTGGTAGCTTTATATGAAGAACCAGAGATGCCTATTAGTGCTCTGGACTTTTTAAAGCATCACTTAGGACCTGCTACCCTTGAAAACCTAGAAATGGAGCTATTTCACCTAGAATTGGCAGAAATGGAAGAGAAATATGAAGCTACTGTAGAAGAAAATAAAAAACTGAAAACAACGCTTGCTCAGTATGAACCACCTCAGAAGGAGAAGCATGCTGTATAGGCTTCTTCTCAGTTGAAAAGACACTGAAAAACGGTTTCGTATCACTTGAATAGTTTGTATAGTATATAATGTTTTCTTGAACAGATGCTATAAAACTTTTAATATATTAAATTCACTTATCACACTTTAACTGTTATAAACACATATACTTAAAATCACCAATAAAAACTCAGTATTTTTAAAAAATTAGAAAAAGAGCTGGGCGTGGTTACACACCTTTAATCCCTGCACTTGGGAGGCAGAGGCAGGCGGATCTCTGTAAGTTCAAGGCCAGCCTGGTCTACATAGTGAGTTCCAGGACAGCTGGAGCTACAGGAAGACCCTGTCTCAAAAAAACAAAAAAAAATTAGAAAAAGAAAGGGAAATGGGCTTTGTGAGTAGCTGGCAGCAGCCCCTGCCTCTGTTCGAGGGGAGTCAATAAGAAAATCCATGCTCTAATTCTTATACTAGCAAGTGAAGGATTTGGCTTCAAGACCAAGCTGGGGTTCCAGGATCTGGGGCTCGGACTGAGAATTCAGGGGATCAGCACAACCTGAGCAGCAGTGGTGAAGGAGATGGATCTTTCTAGTACCTAAGCCAGATGCTTCTAAACAATCAATCTCAAACAATGGCCAAAGTATAGGTAGACATGGATTTGAGGGCCTTAATCCAGTGCCTCTCAAAAGCCAGAAACATACTACTGGCCACAGACAGAAATTTTATGACAGCAAACAGTCTAGCCCCTATACACACACACACACACACACACACACACACACACACACACACACACAGCAAAACCTTTTCTCCTTTGTGCTTTCACAGTTACCCTTGATAATTTGTTAAACCTAGAGTCTAAATTATTGTATACTGAAAAACTGGCTGTCCTCTATTCATGGTCAAGTTGAGTCCATTATTCATCCAAACACTCAAAGAAGGAAATGTATTTCATCCTTTGGGGGAGGGTGGAGAAAACAGTTGTATTTGAGTTTCTGTATTAAATAGATTAGATGTATCCTGGTACTTCTCTTCTGGGGTGTGGAAATCTACAGAGTTGGGAGCCTCCCAGGTAGAGCTCCACAGCCAGGCTTAACTTGGCAAGCACAGCTGGTATGCAGGAGGTTGGGAAGGGAAGTAGGTCACCAGCTGCCAGGACCCTTCTCTAGTTATATAGCAATTTGACAAGTGGAAGCCTCTCAGGGGGGCAAATTTTGCATCTAACTAGGTAAAACAATACTCATTTACAAACCCATTCCACAATTTAATGGTATTAGATGCAGCTACTGCAGAGATAGATGATATAGGAGCCAATAGACCATCCAGACAAAAGAGGCAACTTTTGAAGCAGAGGATATATTTTCCAGATGCATGAGTCAGGAGCCAAGAGACACCAAAGAGCTAGCAGTCACTGCAAGATCTGGCAGTTCAGGAAGGCAGGGGGACATCAGCAACTCATACCAGCTTTTATTTATTTATTTTTACTGAATGTGTATGAGTGGCTCTCCTGCAGGTATGTAAGTGCACCATGTGCATGCAATGCCCATAGAAGCCAGAAGAGGGTGCTGGATGATCTGGAACTGGAATTACAGGCTGTGACCTTGCACAAAGATGCTGCCTCAAAAAAAAAAAAAGTCCAGGTGTGGTGGTGTACACCTTTGATCCCAGCACTCCGGAGGCAGAGGCAGGTGGATCTCTGTGAGTTCAAGGCCAGCCTGGTCTACATAGTTCCAGGACAGCTGGAGCTACAGGGAGACCCTGTCTCAAAAAGATTAAAAAAAAAAACAAAAAAAAAACAGGCAGGCAGATCTCTGTGCGGTTGAGCCAGCATAGTCTACATAGCAAGTTCCAGGCCAGCCAGGGCTACATAGTGAGACCATATCTCAAAAAAAAGGCACACCAGCAGACATGAGGTGCCCACCCCAGGGCACTGGGGCCCCCTGACCATCTAGCTCCCCACTGTGCCTGGCACTAGTGCACCTCTTTTGCCAAGGGCTGAGCCTGTGGGCAACCACTGTGCCATGTATCCATAGTCCAGTGGTCATCATCATCTAGGTGACAAGCTAGGCGCTGACAAGAAAGGACTTGGCAATTAAGAAAGAAAATCACTGAAGAGCCAAGATGGCGGCAGCAGCAGCTCTCAGCAAAAATGTAACTTTGAATAAGATTACAGCCACCCCACCCTTCCACACCCTGGTGGTGGCTCTCTGCAAAGCTCGAACCCCAGAAAGATGTCTCATCACTGATTCCCCCTGGCCAACAAGGAAGATGTGAATGTCACAATTACCAAAAAAAGAAAAAAGTCAACCAGAACCTTGGCCATGAAAAAACAGCAAAATTGGCAATCCATCTGTCTCCTTGGGTGAAAGTGAAAGGTGGTTTTCTCCAATCTCAATGTCCCTCAAGTGTTGCCTATAATTTTTAAATATCGTGTACTGATAAAACTGTACTGCCAAGTTTCAATAATAATGTGAAATCTGTCACTGTTTCTATAATGTGAGTTTGCCACACATTCCCTTTCCAAATTCTCCACCTATACAAAGACTTTCAATGTAATCATGCTACTTTTTTCTCTTGGTCTTTTTAGAGACAGCATCTCCCTATAGCCCCAGCTGGCCTGGAACTCACTATGTAGACCAGGCTGGTGTTGCCAAACTCACAGAGCTCTGCCTACCTCTGCATCTGAAGTGCTGGGAAGAAAGGTGTGAGCCACCACGCCCAGCTTCATGTTACTTCTTAAAGAAAGCAATGCTAATAAAATATTTTCAAATATTTTATTTATTCTTTCTTTTATGTGTATGAGTGTATTGCCTACATGTATATAAGTGCACCTATGTCATGCAATGCCCTCAGAAGTCAGAAGAGGGCGTCAGATGCCCTGGAACTGGAGTTACAGACAGTTCTTAGCCACCATGTGGGTGCTGAAAACCAAGCCCAGGTCCTCTGCAAGAGCAGCCAGTGCTCTTAACCACTAAGTGAACTCTCCAGCTACCATAAACTATTTTTAAATAAAAAATAAATAGAAAAAACTGATCAATGCCATAAAGGAAAGTGTGGGGTGCTGTGAAATAGTAAAGGAGACATCTCTAATTAATATGGAAAGTTGTCAATAAGAGCCTCCAGACCTGAAAAATGAAGGGAAAGAATATGAGAAAAAAACAGCTCTTGTTAAAATCCTAAGGAGAGGCAGGGCGTGGTGGTGCAGGCCTGTAGTCCCAGCACTTCCGAGGCAGAGGCAGTCAGATCTCTGTGAGTTCAAGGCCAGCTTGGTCTACATAGTGAGGTCCAGGACAGCTGGGGCTATAGGGAGACCCTGTCTCAAAAAGACAAAAAACAAAACAAACAAAAACAATCCTAAGGAGGAAGTGGGCTTTGCTGCCTTTGAGAGACACAGGGTAATGAGTGTGCCAGTAAAACTGACCATCTCATCTCCTCAGTGGCCCTGTGCTTCCTAGGACCTGTCAGTGATTGAAGGCACGGGTCAATCTGGTCCTGAGTTAACTGCTGGAACCAGCTGTCCTCAGTGTCTTTGTTTATGTCCAGAAATTCTGAGTGTGGCCACTTTTCCTTGACCAGATATAATTCAGAGATCTGGTCACTGAGAGTCACCTTGTTGCAGAGCTACTGGGATAGCTCCAGAACCCAGAATTGGAAGCCACTGCAGGTTCCCAGCCTAGAGGGTTTTGCAGCAGAAAGGCTTTGTGGTGGTGGCCTTGTGGCTGTGTCTATGGGCTTCGTCTGGGAGGGCTGGAGCAGTGGAGCAGTACAAAGGAATGGCTGCCAGTGGCCACTGATAGCAGTCTCCTCTTCTCTACAATCCTCCCAACCCTGAAGCAAAAGGTTGCTGCTGGAAATCTGGCTCTGGTTGGAGGAAGAACTTAAGAAAGCCTGGTTGATGGCCGTAGAGACAAAACTGTGTTTATCCAGGAAAGTCAGACGTAGGCAGCAGAGGCCCCTGCCAGCTCCTCCCTGAAAGACTGGGCTGGGGGAGCAAGCTGGAGAGGAAACTGCTCCCCTAGGGCTCTGCACGCCTAGCGGGGGCCAGAAGCCAAAGGCCGGAATCCAGCTGCTGTCCACAGGTAAAGTCTGCACTGTGGGAGCACGACGGAGCCGGACATGGGTTCGGACTCCGGGACAGAATACGGGAACATTCATTGCTCCTGGTGACTCGGTAGGGGTGGAGGGAGCACACTGCGGAGAAGCCTTCCCCAGCCCTCACTGGGGGTGGTGGAGAGTCAATGGTGCCTTTGTGCTCTGAGATTTCCAAGGCAGAAAGCGTGGAGAGTGGGAGGGGCGACCCAGCGGCCCTGCTTCCCCCGCTAAGCCCGGCAGACTCCCCGCCGCCCGGCTGAGAAGCTAGGGAACCCACCGCCCGAGGTAAAGGGGACAGGGGTGGGATTCTGTGCCTCACCGAAAGTGGCACTGCGTGTCCACAGGTCAGCCATCAGGCGTGTTCTCTGGCTGCCAGGAGCAGAAGTGAGTCTCTTTCAGGAGCAAGTTGAGAAGGCCAAGGGTGATTACAGGGAGGAGCCCCAAGAGGCAGGTGGAGCTAGGGCCGGTGGATAGGTCAATCCAGAGAAGCGGTCACCCGGACTGGGGAAGGAGCCTCAAGGCCACTAGACCAAATAGGAAGGGTGGGAGGGAGCAAGCCTACCTAGTCGTGGTGACCTTACAAGGGAAGAGTGTACATGAGCAGGATTCGTATCTGGGTCCATGATTTGACTACAGCTCTTTTGATTACACGGACATTGTTCTAGTTTTGCCGATGGAGCGCTAGGGCTCTGGTGGGTGTGTTGTACCCTGTAACTCTGAGGTGGGTGCAAGCATCCTTAGTAGGAATGGTAGAGTCTGTGTACTTGAATAGCCAAGGCTTCCATCGGAAATTTTTGCTGACTGGACCTCTGCTCCATCTCTCGGGCTTCCAGACTTCGCCCTGTCTCTCCCCGGCTTAAATACAAGCCTTGCGCCCCACGAGTGTCGGACAAGGACGCGGTGCCAGACCGCCCGGTGTCCGCTCACAGCATCACCGACCTCCGCATCCTCTTCTCGTCTCCTAGTGCCCCTCGGTCCAGCGCTCCCAACTGGGAGGCTGGACTTGAACCTTCTCCGGCCTGCGGCGTTCTGCGCATCATTACCTCTACCCACTGCATGTGGCTCTTGGAGAAAGCTGGCTATAGGGAGCGGACCGCAGAGCCCCGGACGCGCCGGGCGCCCTCCAGCCTGTTCCCTAAGCTCGGGGCCCCGGGCTCGCCTTCGCGCGCCTACCCCCACGTCCTCACCCCCGACCGTATCCCCCAGTTCTTCATCCCGCCTCTGCTCCGAGAGCCGGGAGGCTCTGAGGCCCGGGCGGGGCGGGACCTGGGCGAGCGGAGCCTCCCCACCGCCTGCTCCCTGCCGCACCTGGCTGGCCGCGAGGGCTGGGCCTTCCTGCCCGAGAGCCCGCACACGCGCCGCCGCGAGTCCCTGTTCCACGCGCCCCGTGGCCTGGCCGCAGGACTGCCCCCCACGCAGGCCCGGCTGCACCTCTCGGCCCCGGACCTGCGCCTCTGCCGGGCGCCCGACAGCGACACGGCCTCCTCGCCGGACTCGTCGCCCCTGGGCTCCCCGCACGCGGCCCGGCAGCGCCCGGTGTGCCCCGCGGAGGCCGGCTGGGACCGCAGCCCGCACGCGCCGCGCCGCGCGCCGCCGCTCTTCCACCTCGACTTCCTCTGCTGCCAGCTGCGGCAGACCAAGGAGAGCGTGCTGCGCCTCGGGCCTCGCGGCGGCCAGCTACGCCTCTCCACCGAGTACCAAGCTGGGCCAGGGCGGCTGCGGCTGCGCCTGGTGAGCGCAGAGGGCCTGCCTCGGTCGCAGGCCCGCCCCGGGAGCGGCGGCGGCGGCTGCTGCGTGGTGCTGCGGCTGCAGCCCCGCGTTAGGCCGCGAGCCCAGCGGAGCCGCGTGGTCAAGCGCAGCTCCAATCCCATCTTCAACGAAGACTTCTTTTTCGAAGGGCTCGGCCCGCCAGACCTGGCCGCCCGCAGTCTGAGGGCCAAGGTGCTGGACCGGGGAGCCGGGCTGCGCAGGGACGTGCTGCTGGGGGAGTGCGAGACCCCCCTCGTCGCCCTGCTGCCCCCCTTGGGTGGGGGGCCAAGTCCAGCGTCCTCCCTGGTGCCTGCTCATCTCACCCTTTAGACAGACACGTCAGCTTCCCTACGAGGTCTCCTGGGCCCACACGCCTCTTTCTAGCCACCTGTTCAACGTGTATTTATTTTTGATAATAAAACATCAGTTTGTCTCCATTTGGAATGTGTACCTGGTAGGCTTTCAACACTGGGCTTTGCAGCTAAACCTTTTCCTTTCGTCTGGTCCACAGGCAGGACAAAGCAGCTCCTGCAGATAGTCAGCTGGAGCAGACCTTAAGCTGTGATTCTCCAACCTGGAAGAGCATCGAAATAACCAGACTCTAGCCGTCTGGAAGAGCTTGTTAAACACACAGACTCCTGGCTCCATTCCCAAGTGAGGCTACTTCATGAGGGCTGGGCTAAGCAGGTATTAAGATCCTGTCCTAGTTTCATTTCTGTTGCTGTGATAAAATGCCCCCACAAAAAGCAACTTTAAAGGAAAAAGGGTTTGTTTGACTTAAAGTGCCAGGTTATAGTCCATAATTCTGGGAATTCAAGGCAGGAACTTGAAGCAGCTAGTAGCACCCAGTCAAGAGCAGAGAGGGAAATGAATGCATGCATGTTTCTAGTGCTTAGCTCACTTTCTCCACTCTAAGGTAGCCTAGGACCCAAACCCACAATGGGTAGTCACCCCACATCAATTAATTATAATCAAAATAATCCCCCACAGACATGCCCACCTGCCAATTTGATCTAGACAGTCCTGCCTTGAGACTTTTCCCAGGTGATTCCAGATTGTATCAAGTTGACAAAACTAACCATCAAAGGTCCCTAGGTCCAACAAAACCCCACATCTTCAGAGAGCCCCAGCAAGAGCTCTGGAAAGAGAAACCAGCACAAGCCACCTTCTCCTGGAGGTTCTTTGGGGTTGCACAAAGGAAAGTGGCCCTTCTCTCCCTTCCTGCCCTAACATCCACATCTCTTTTAAAGATGGCAGATGACACAAAATTCACAGTGCCCTTTAACCTTCCTGCCTTCCCTCTGGCCTGTCCTGTTCATGCCTCTGCACCTGCACTGTAAGAAGAAGCAGAAGAACCAGAGTAAAGAACCGGGGCAGTACTTGGATACCCAGAGACTGGGATACAGTGTCCCAGGAATGGGATCTAGGAAGGAGGATGCTACTAGAATGTAAGAGTTGTTCCCAGGGATGCAGGAAAGGCTGCCTGGGCCAGGGGGAGATGAGGGTGAAAGCTGATGTAATAAAAGTGGGTCAGATTGTGTTTACCTCCTACCTGAATGTCCTTGACGTCAGCAGTGACCTTCTCTCTACCTCCCCCTTCCTGGGAACTAGTTCCTTACTGGCTCATTCACTGGGCGGGGAGGGGGGTCAGCAGAAGGTGGATGGATGACAATGCCTAGACTAATCCAGCTTCTTCCTCCTCCCCTAGGGCTATTTCTCACTTTCTATGATGACAGCCTGTTGGTTCCCAACAAAATCTCAGTACTTTAGGAGGTCCAACTGTAACAACACACACACACACCTTTCCCAATTCATATGGCTCCCCACTTTCTTTTTCTTCCTCTGATTAGGTCCCCACCACCACCAAGAAATCTTGCTCCAGATGTCCACCAGGTGGTGACATTGACCAAACAATCCTACATGCTAACAGCTACCAGCAGATTACCCCCACAGGAGGAATTGTTCAAACAACGTAAATCATTTATTCCTCCCAGCAACTGTCATTTGTATCCAGTGTGACCTTGGGCTATACAGTGCTAGTGAAGAATAGAACTAGGGGCATGGCTCCCAGATGTTTGTCACCAAACCCACAATCTGAGTTCAACTCCAGGGACCCACATGACAAAAGGAACAAAGTGACTCACATAACTAATATAATTTTCTTTAATTTAAAAAGTAATTACCGGGGCTGGAGAGATGGCTCGGTGGTTAAGAGCACTGATTGCTCTTACAGAGGATCCAGGTTCGATTCCCAGCACCCACATGGCGGCTACGAACCGTCCTTAACTCCACTTCCAGGGGAATCCGACGCCCTCTTCTGACCTCCGCAACATTGCAAGACACGGGTAGAGTCACATACATGTAGCCAATACACTCATACACATAAATGGTGGTACATGCCTTTAATCCCAGCACTTGGGAGGCTGAGGGAGGCAGATCTTCGTGAGTTCGAGGGCAGCCTGGTCTACATAGTGAGTTCCAGGCCAGCTGGGGCTACAGGGAGACCCTGTCTCAAAAAGACCAAAATAAGTAAATAAATAAATAAATATTTAAAGTATATTAAAACTTTGAGCAGGACAGTGATACATGCCTTTAATCCCAGCACTCGGGAGGCAGAGGCAGATGGATCTCTGTGAGATGGAGGCCAGCCTGGTCTACATAAACTCTGATCATTTCACATCCTGGCAGTTTGGACTCACCCCTGTGAACTCTAGAAAGTCCACCCACAGGTCTAGCTCTATCTCTAATGTGCGGTAAATCAGCTCTCAAATTCTCCCATAACAACCCTCAGTGAGCAACTAGATTTGAAAGTACCTGGAAAGAAGCCTCCGAGGCAGATCACCATCATTCACACATTTCTCCAACAATGCAAAGGAGGGTCTTCTGAAGTGCCAGGCATTGGAGACAGCAGTAATCAAAACAAACCAGGAATCAGACAAGTTACAAAATGAACAAGCAAAAATAAAGAATTACTTGGTGACAGAGCACGGAGAAAAATCAAAAAAAGAAGAGGGGCTCAGATAAAAGGAGGGAGGGAAGATTACAAGAATGGAAAAAAGGGAGGGAGGGACTGAAACGCTTCTTTTTTTAGCTACAGTACTTTGTACCAGGTCCTGTACTTTACCCAGGGTGTTATCTCATAGCCACTGGGTAAAGTAGGTATCAGTATTCCCAGTTCACAAAGGAGACCAGAGAGGTTAAGTAAATGTGCCTGGAGATCAGCTTTGGCTGCAAGGAAGGCTCCTGATTGTGACTCTATGCAAGCAGCCCCAGTCCCAGCCCAGCCCAGGGGCTTGGGGAGTCCATGAAGTGGAAAGTCCCCTCAGAAGCAGTTCTGTCACATTCCCAGCCTTCAGGACCCTGTGACGGGTACACTGTCCTCAGAAGAGCCACAGAAGCATGCCCTGGGAGCAAATGGGCCCTCTCCTGTGTGCAGGCAGTTTAGGCCCCAAGGCCCTGCCATCAATACAAGTCAGCACCCATGGCACTGCCCCCTTTGGCTGTGGTTACTGAAGGCTATTACCTAGCAACCACATTCTTAAAGTCTTTCTGTCCCCAAAATCAGAGTTCCCAATTTTTGTGTTTGTAATTATTTTGAAGCTAGCCTCCAACTTTCTGTGTAGCTGAGGATGACCTTGAACTCCTGGTCTTCCTGTCTCTACCGCCCATGTGCTAGGTTTACAGGTGTACACCACCACATCAGATTTATGAAATGCTAAGGACTGAATGTAGGGCTTTGTGGATGCTAGACAAGCATTGTACCATCTGAGCTACATCTCCAGTCCCAGTTCCTGATTTTTGATCCTCACCACCTCCAAGCCCACAATCCTCAGTCACCCCCTCCGTTCCTTCCATCCCATGGGGCTTTTGTGGGGACTGTAGATGCAGAGACTGCAGATGTTCATAGAGTCTGAACTGGAACTGTCTTTTTTCAGGAGTCAAGACACAGACTCCATTCCAAGTCATTCTGGTAGGTTGAGGTGTCCCCAGGCATGAAGCCCCTAGGACTCAAAGAAATGTATCACTAATCACTGCATTCGCTCCCATGGGAGATGGTCCTCTGTGGGCAGGACTGGGCTATGAATGACCTCACAGTTTGCCTGAACCCCACACATTTCCACTTTACCCCCCACCCAAGGCCCTCCCTGGAAGAACAGGCCTGTACTGAGCTTTAAGTGGTTTCTGCGGTTTAGGGGGTTGGGGAGGAAGGGAAAGAAGAGTTGGTGACTGCTCCCCAGTTCCAAGCCACCACCACCCCCACCTCCAGGTTGTTTGCCCCCTGCTTTGAGATTTCTTGGCCTGATAAGGGGACTGGGGGTAGAATGACTCTCTGATCCCTATCAACCTCTTCCTTACATAAGAATGTAAAAGAATGTATTTGAGGAGGAAATAACCACTGCCCTGTTTTGAAAAGCACTGATTCCTCCAGAAAAGAGCTGTGGTTGCAACCAGAGGGAGGAAGGTAAGGCAAGAGGGGGGACATTCCGAAAGGACAGCCATGGACCCTACCTAGAGAGAACCCCAACCCCCATCCCTTGAGGTAGTGAAGAAAAGCTGGGTGGGGTGGCTCACCTCCGTAATCCCCGCACTCAGAAGGCTGAGGTAGGAGGATGACCACAGTTCAAAGCCATCTTGAGCAACAGAGTGAGACCTTGTCTCAAGGCAACAACAACAAAGCAATGAATACTTAGAGCCAGGACCCTGTCTTCCCAATCCTCTTAGTCACTTTCTGAGCACCCCACACAGCAGCAGGTAGTGCTACAACAGGAGGGCAGCCCCACAGCAGGGTCAAGCAGTATCTGCCAGTGCCAGGCCCTATGCCATCTGCAAGCTTTCTGAGGGGCCTCCACCCTGTGTCTATGATTTGAGAGGGAGTAATCCAGAACAACAGAGACCTAAGGTCCAAAGAGAAGCCTAGCGAGGAGAGAAGGGGCTGTCGAGATGGCTCAGCTGTTAAGAGCACTGGCTGCTCTTGCAGAGACTGGGGTTTGGCTCCCAGAGCCCACATGGTGGCTAACAACTATCTGTAACTCCAGTTCCAGGGAATCTGATGCCCACTTCTCACCTCCACGGGTATTGCATGACATGGATGCATTTACATGTGCACTAACATACATGCAGACAATACACTCATATACATAAATAAAAATAAATAAAATTTTTAAAAATAAAATAAATAATAAATAATTTTTAAAAGGAACGAAGCTAGTCAGTGATACAGGCCTGTAACTTCAGCATGCCCAAGGTTTAGGCAAGAGGACAGTAAGTTAAAGGTCACTCTGGGAGTATCTGTGTCAAAAAAAAGTGAGAGGAGCTAGAAGGTAGAGTTGATGAGGCACACACAAAAAAGTGTTTGACAGGGAGGGCAAGAGGAACTGGCAAGGGAATGAAATGGAACAGGAGAGGACACGGTGAAGATCTGGGGTAGGGGTGAGCAGACAGATCAAGACCCCTGTCCCTGGAATACCCACACTCCTCTCCACACTGACTCACCGACTCTCGCCCTACATAGGATGCTACAACCAGAACTTTGCCTCTTAACTGCAAAGCTCCCCAGACTCCAAAACTCATGCTCTAAGCAGAGAAGTGCACATGGGTCCATGTTTACCACAAGGACATGGAGGGCCTGGGAGATGGCTTAGGAAAGTGCCTGCCACAAGAGCATGAGGACCTGAGTTCATCCCCCAGAACCCGCATCATAAAACTGGGGCACAATGGCAGGCACCTGCGGTCCCAGCTTTCTGATCAGCCAGTGCAGACCCTGTCTCAAAAAGTAAGGTAGAGAGTAACTGAGGAAAATTCCAAGTGACAACCTCTGGCCTCCACAGGCATGCACACTCACACGTGGACACACATCCACATATATGTACACATACACGAACGTATCACACACACACACACACACACACACACAAAAAAAAGACATGGGAATAATCTGAGCCTCAGTGGCCCTCAAAAGTTCCTCCTACTCCCCAAGCCCTTGTCAGTCATCCTAGGAGTGGGAAAGTCCTTCTCTTCGAACCTCTGTCTCTAGGGTTGCAGTGCTTGGGAGACTGTGGGAGCTCCCTAGGGACAGAGGTGCTGATGGTGGCAGAGTGTGAAGCTCCAGAGAGGGGCTAGAGTGGAGGATGGAGAGCTGGGAAGGAACAGCTGCCTATCCTCTCCACGCCAGGTGCCACGTGCACCAGGTGGAGGGAGTGGGTGAATCAGGAGTCACGAGGCCCTGGCGTGGCTGGCTCCTGCTCTGCTGTTTACCAGCTGGAGAGAGGAGGAGGAGGGGCTGGGAACTCTGCAGCCTGGCCCCTGGCCAGCTGCCTGTTCGGTAAACAGGCAAGCCAGGCCCAGCTAATCAAACTCTGGATCTAGGCTGTGCAGAACTGTGGCATGCAAGATCCACTGAAGCCTTGGCCCTTGGCCCTCCTCAGACACCAGTGCAGGCCTCCCTGTGAGCAGGCTTGGTCTGGGGGCTCCCACCCAACTAGTCAGTGCAGTGCAGTGCAGTTCCTCTCCTCTGCTCTCCCCTCCTCTGTCTTCCCCTCTCCTCTGGTCTTCCTTGCTCCACCTCCTCCACACAGTGCACACACACACCAGGAGCATCTGAAGTACAAAAAAGTCAGGGAATCCCAGGGCAGCACCAGGCTGAACAGAGCAAAGCAGGCAGCATGCTCCAGGAAACCAAGATACACTGGGCTACATTTGACCCCATGTTGGAGAATCAGAGTCCCCCAGCATTCTGTCTTTTCTCTCACTGTTCCTCCCCTCCCTATCTTGTTTGGCTGTCACCTGTCCTAGTCCAGCGAAAAAAGGATTCTGAAGTTACGAAGACCTGGGTTCAAATCTCAGCTCAATCACCAGCTGCCCTTGTGGAAGCCTTTTATATCTCTCAGCATCACTGGACTCGTGATTATGAATTATCTTGTTTCTCTGTAGTGGGTATCATGAGGGTTTACAAAAAACAACCCAAATTTACCTACAGGGCCTGCAAAGGGCCTAGCATGCAGTAGGTGATCAATAAATGCTGGTTCCCTTTTACCTGTTTTTCCTCAAGACTCCAGACACTGGTCCACTGATCTCCTCCTGGTCCCCTCCTGGTGCCAGGACACTCTGCCAGCCACTCCTTTCCCCTGCCTGCTGGCGGGCCAGGTGCTCCCTCCCTCTTCCCTCCTCCCTCCCCTAGGCCCTGCTCCCTGCCCTCCTGGGCAGCCAGGGCAGCAAGGACAGCACCAAGAAAGCTACCCCATGGACAGGGCCCCACAGAGACACCACCGAACATCTCGGGGTAAGAGGCCCCACAGTCCTTCAAGCAGGTGGGACTGCCAGAAGGCTCAGAGGAGGGGAGGGATGGGAAGAGACTAGGCAAGAAGTGACGCAGGGGAGAGAGGTGAACACAGACGACAGACAGACTGGCTGAGGAGAGCAGGCAGGTGAGACAAGTCTTCATGAAAGCCAAAGAAGAAAGAGGAAGAGGGGTTGAGGAAACAAAGGAAAGGGGGAGAAATGGGAAAGAAAGGGAAGGAAAAGACAGGTTGGAGAAGGGGCAGGAAAGAGCAGGCTCAGAGAAGCAAGATCAAGAGATGGGCGGGAATGGGGCTGGCTTCTCAGATGTGAGCAGGCCCCTCCCTGCCAGGATGGCTCCCTCCTTCACCTTCACCTTCGCCTTCACTGTAGAGAAACCTGTCTACCACTACGGGGGGCAGCAACTGCCCCCTGCCAGCTGCTCCGGCCCAGCCGCCCCTCGTTTGCACGGTCCGGGCCTGGGTTTGTATCTCTGCAGTATGGGGCACCTGGCTGAGCACTGAAAGGGCTCCACCAATGGACTACAGTGGGAGCCCTTCACAGCAGGACACCCTCACACATGCTTGTCATCTGGAAACACCTGGGACAGTGAGTGCCAGCGCTGCCAAGTTCCAGGGCCACCCAGAGGAAGCACTCCCTGGGACCAGTGGTGGGAGTGCCCCCACCCAAGAGTGCTCTGAAGTACAAAGCTGGAGGCAGGACAGGGGTGCCACGTCAGGGAGGAAGCTGAGTAGGGCCAGACAGGATCCACAGGGAGTGGGTGTGACCAGGTGGAACCTCGCCCTCTCTGAGAAGACCTTCTCCTCCCCCACCCCAGGGAGCCACTGGCCCCCACAGTAACCCAATGTAGATGGCCTGGCTGTGGGATGCATCTCCTGGCAGAGGGCCAGTGTCAAAGGGACAGGGTATGCGTGTCAGTCTTGAACAGCAGAAGACAAAAAGTAAGAGAAATGAGTCAAAGGGTAAGGATGTTACAGGCAGGGCTACTGGAGCTTCCTGGGACAAAAGACTGGCTCTAGGCACTATGTGGATGTAGGAATGGTTGGAGGTCTAGGGGAAAAGCATCTTTTACCAGGGGTTTCCTCGCTAGGTGTTTCCCAAGTATGACTATATGAATGAACAGCCCCATAACCTTGTAGTAGCTAAGGCTCTTGTCTCAACAGAAGCTCCTAAGGGGCCCTTCCCTCTGCAGGTCTGCAGGTAGGCCAGTGAAGCCTGCAGTGGAGCATCTACAGCTCTTCCCTCCTTCTCCACTACCCTCCCCATCTGCTCCCAGCTCCACAACCTCTGTAACCTTTCCAGCACAGATAAGCAACCAAAAGACTGCATTCCCATGGGCATTTAACTCTGGGTGCAGAATGTTTATTGTGTGCCTGGAATGTACCAGATACTAGAGGGTTCTGGATACTTCCAGAACAGCAAGGTGAACAAGACAGAAACTCCACCAGTCAGAAGGTTTATAATCTAGCAGGGACTATGGCACACTTATGACAGGTGTTATGGCAAGTGCCAGGAAACTCAACACAAGGTGCTGAGTGAAATAAACCGGGGCCAGGGAGGCACAGGCAGCTGCTCAGAGGGAGACATCTGAGACCTAGCTGGATTAAGAACTGTGGGAGGGAAGCAGAGAGGCATGGGGAAGTCCTGGAGGCAGAGAGAAGCTGAGCACTGTTGGGACCTGGAATAGGGCCAGCAGCTGAAGGACAGAAACGAAGGTGCTATCCAGGGGCCCAGCTTCTCCTCAGAGACCAGCCTGTGCTAGGAGGGAATGGGGTGGGTAACTGGGGAAGTCTGTAGTCCACCTCCAAGTCTTAGGCTGTTGGCTGATGCCTTCTCTTCTCTTTGCAGAGCTGCTGACTGCAAAGAAGACCCACACCTGTGAGTAGGGGCGGAGAGACAGTTCAGTTTGGGAGGCTTAGGTAAAAAAAGGGTCTGGGGCTGGACAGGCCAAGACAGGAGGGGACCAAAGGGGCAAGAGCTTGAAGACACAGAAGCACCCAGAGGAAAAGACAGGTGAAGAACCCACAGGCCAGGACAGCAAGGAAGAAGTGTGAAGGGTGTCAAATAACAAGCAGAGGAAAGAAAAGGGGAACTGTGAAGAGAGGTGGGCAGGCAAGCATGCTGGACAGAGGCACAGGAGGGAAGGAAGACTGCAGGGACAAGGGAGGGAGGAGGTGGGAGGTGAGGGTGGCCTCAGAACTCAGCAGCCACAATAGGAGGTCTGGGAGCATGCCCCAGGCTTTGTGGCAGCAGAGCCAGGTTTGGTGTTCTCTGTGGTTAACACATCCTGAGGTGTGAGCAAGCCTGAAGCCAGGCTATGCATAACTACAGAGCAGAAAAGCCTGGTCTCTATAGGAAAGAATAGACAGGGACACTGGATCCTGGGATCCTGAAAGACTGAGACTCCGGTGCATTAGAAAGAAGCTAGAGCTTAGGAAGGACTTCCCAGAAGATGCAAGAAAGTTAGCATCTTCTCTGGGGACCTCTCGGCACATCAGTCTTCTCCCATAGTTCCAGAAGGAGGCTACTTCCCCAAAAAGGGCATGCACTCTACCTCAGTGCTGCCCAGTGGACCATGTATTCCCTCAACAACCTGAGGGCACTCTGGAAAAGACTTCCACAAACATGGGTCATTGAACTGATGAGGATCCTGTGGGGGTAGAAGATGCCATTTCCATTCCTCCATGACATATCCCTTGATTGTCCACCAGTTCCTCCTACTGCAAAGCCATGTGCAGCCTCCCTATTCCAGCATTCCCTCCAGCCCCCACCCCGAAGATGGTACTCAGTGCTGAGGGATGGATGGCTAGGATGCTCCATCCTCCTGGGGGTGGAGGGGGGCACTGCTTGGCTCAGCACAATCCTCCTGAGCTTCATATGCCGCTAGCCACAGGGCCCCACGGAAATGCTGATCAGGGCCCTTGGAGAAAAGCGGGTCAGAGTGATGAGTGATGCAGGCAAGCTGGGGGAGGGTCAGGGACCACACTTGAGGTGGGGAGCTTTTGGAGCAGTGGGAACTGGGAGACGCCAAACCCCATCCCTACATTAATCCTTTACACACAAACCTCTGTCCAACCTGCCTCCTGCCCTTTAGCTCTCACCACGAGTGCCCGCCTTAGTGAGGATCCAGGGTGGCCACCCTTCCCAACCCACTGCCCAGTTCCTGTGTCAGCAGAGAGAGGCTCTCACTGACTAAGGGGCTGTGAGGGTTCCAGCAAGATGGAAGACCTCCCAGGAGGTTGGCCCAGGTATCAAGACCCACCCTCCACCCCACTCTAGGTCAAGTGATAAAAACCTCAAGAAGAGGGTCCAAGAGGAGAAACCCAGGGGAAATCGGGGGCAGGGGATGTGCTGAAAACTAAAGGGCCTGTAGAGAACTCCCAAGGCAGAGGTACTCCACAGAGCAGTTTGGAAGCTGAAGGAACCCATCAGTAAGAACCCTCAGACCAATGAAATCTACAGAGAATCTCGAATGCCAGGAGACTGCCTAGTTTGAGATGCCCTCAAAAGCAGACTTGGACCAGGGAAACCCTCTGTCCCTCAAATGGATCTGGGGCCACTCTGTCTAGGCTTACATCTTCACTCTACCATTCACTAGCTGTATGATCTCAACAGGTTACTTAACTTCTCTGGGTCTCACCCAGAGAAGTTTATCCTTGAAATGGGGATAATGGTTGCTATCTCATAAAGTATTTTGTGAAGATTATATAATCCACATAAAACCGAATCATTTCCAGCACTTAGTAGGCACTGCTGGTAGGATTCTAAGGATGAAGATGCTGGTGGTCACTGTCTGGGTTCCAGTCTGGCAGTTTTGTCCCTGAAGGACTTTCTGATGGACTAACCCATCCTGCAGATCTGCCTGACTGCCACTGTCATTTTCAAGTTTCCCCAGCCCAGGGTACGCATCATATCTGCAGGAGGAGCGTGGGTGTGGTGGGGGGTCAGCAACTCCAGGGTGCACCACACCCAGTATGGATGACTATTGACAGTCCACAGGTTCACAGTGGTACATGCCTCCACCCCAGGCAGACATCCTGTGACTTACCTCTGGGACATCCCTACCCCTGGTGTCACCTGGCAAGGATGGCCTCGCTTGGGGTTCTCCGGAGATGGGAGTAGGAGCCTGGCCTCTGCCCATGAGCTCCGTTCGGCTCCCCAGCTAGAACTGCCCTGGCGTGTGGAAACAGCTCTGACTGTGTGGCTGTTGCCTGTGGGCCTGTGGTTTTGGAATTTTCCAACGCCCCCTGTGATTGGCTGCCCCGCCCCTCACACCCTACCAGGCCCAGATTGGCCACGTGGGGCGCCTGTCATTCTACCCACGGCACTCCTGGGAGCTGGGGGGCTGTTACTTGGCCACCTGTGTGGTGCAGAGCTTAACCCCCCCACCCTGCCCAGAAGCATCAGGGGAGAGCTGGGTGCAGAGCTGCGGGCTGAGGCACCGCTAAGAAGGCTTCACCCCCACCTACGCTGCCAGCTGTGCCCTGTCCTAGGCCACCCTGCTGAAGAAGACAGGGAACCAAGGCCACCAAGTCTAGGCTCAGTCATGAGAAGTAAGTGAATGGGGCACCTGAGCATGGGGAAGCCTGGGTCCTGTCATGATTCCTAGGCCATTGGTTAGGAGTGTCTTGGGAACAGTGTGAACAGGGTGGAGGGCTCCTCCCTGGCAGGGTGTGTCCCAGCCCAAGTCAAGATCTGCTGGGAGATGGGTGGAGATGCAGGGGAGTAAATCCCCAGGCAGCTTCCTTAAGGCAGCAGTGGTAAAAGAATTGTTGAGTTCTTGGCATGAGTTCTGGGAAAACAGAGTGTCTAAAAGTCCAGCTCCTTGGTTTATAAAAAGAGACCAAGACCTGAAGGAGAGTGCATCACCCAAGAGCTCAAGGAAGGCCAGCAAGGCCATCAGCGTTTTCTCCCAGTTCCTAGAGAAGTGTTTCCTTTCGTGCCTCCAACCACAAGAGCTGAGGCACCTTGAAGCAGAACAGTCAGAGTAAACAGAGGTCAGCAGGCAATGGGGTCAGAACCCAACATCTAGGCCTCAGAACCTGTATATTCTCTGATCTTCCCAGAGACATGAGGGCTAAGTACAATCCAGACAAGGAGTGCTCTGAGTGTGTATGTGCTTGTGTGTGTATATGTACGGACACATTTGTGTGTGTCTCTATGTGCAGTTGCCCATCCAAGGCCTGTGGAGATAAGAGCAGAAAGCCTTCAGGCTCACTCCCTTTCCTGTTTAGAACCATGAGCCAACAGCTGCTGGGCAGATGTCTAGGGTCCCTGTGTCTTCCAGCTGAGCAAGGTGGGCAAATCAGATGAACCTCTATACTCATATAGGGGAAGCCAGAGTCCCTCTCAGAGCTCAGGGTGAAGGAGGAAAAGGGAAGCCTATGTACCTGAGGCCTGTGGCCTGAGGCCTGAGGCAGCCCCAGCTTCAGCCTAGGGTCTTCCCACAAGCCACAGAAGGGAGGCCATATTGGGTCCTGGAAAGACCCATGGACTGAAAGTATAATGAGTGGGTTCTGGTGCCAGCTTACTTGGGCAAGCCATTAGGCTCTGATCTCCAACTGCAAAACAAGTAGATTGACTTAACAACAAAGCCGAGCAAGGGACATTTCCCAATTCTAAAAGCCTAAGACAAGGAGGGAACCTTGGTCCTTGAGACAGGAACCCCCAAAGGCAGAGTGTAGAAGGAAGACAGGCCAAGGCAAGAATGCCACTTTCTGGAACAGGACTACAGTGCAGGTATAGGAGCTCCAGTAGGACAGGAGGAGCCAGGAGAAGGGCCAAAGGCTTCCAGCAATACAAGTAGGAGCCAAACTTTCCTTTCTTGCTTTTCCCCATTGGCAGCAAAGGCTGGTAAACTGGACTTCCCAGAAATGGCCCCCAAATCAGCAGTCAGCCCTAGGATGCCATGTATCCGTGTGTTTCATGCCCATGCAGAAGCAGGAGTCCCCAGCAGTGCTTGAGGGAGACACTTTGGGCAGCCCTACATTATATCTACACATGCACCGAAACACACCAGCTCCACACAAGTCATCCAGTCTGGTGTCCGTGTCAGTGGTCTTCCTCATGGAGACATTTCTGGGTATCTTATGCCCCAAGTTTTCTGACCCTGTAGAGTATTAGTCACCACAAGCTTCGGAGAGTCAGGACAGGGCTTAGGACCATAATACACCCAAAGACGAAGGCGAGATAAACAAGGAGCAGAAAGAGCAGGAAGTAAGTAATGAATTCGAAGGGCAGGTTTATGAAACACAGGAGAGGGTGATGTTCAGATGGGGAAATACCAGGAGACCAAAACTGTGGCATGAGAAGCCCAGAAACCACCAGGATGCAGATCACAAGGCACAGGAGAGGTGGCAAAGGCAGATGATAGGCAATGGAGGCTGTCTCCTCATAGCCCAACAGAACTGCTGCCTACCAGCCAAGCACGAGTGGCCCAGCCATCTCACTGTTCAGGGCTGGCCAGTGTGGGACCAATAGGCATTAAGGCCCTTGGTGTTGGGCCTGGATGAGGAGGTGGGAGGTTGATGAGTGTGAGGTCATATGTCTGTCCCTTTTCTTAAGTCCAGAGCAATGGGCCCGAAAGAACTCCAAGTTCCCAAGGCATCACATACCACAACGCTGAGGGCCATCTGGAATTTGGTTGTATTTTTAAGCTTTTATTTATTGTTTGTGTTCCTGTGTGTGTGTATGTGTATGTGTTAAAGAGAGAGAGAGATTGAGAGATGGAGAGAGAATGAGACAGAGACAAAGGGGGAGAGTGTGTATGAGAGAGACAGAGAAAATATGAGACAGATGGGGGGGGGTGTTGCACCGACACTGATGCTGTAGAACTTGTGGAGGTCAGAGGACAACTTCTGGGAGTTGATTCCTTCTCCCATAGGTCCCTGGGCTCTTAGAACTGGGAGACTCTCCTTGATTGGCTTTGTTGTTCAAACTCATGTTGTCAGGCTTTCCTAACTGAGACTTTTCCCACTGAGCCATCTCGCCAGTCCTATTTGGTGTTTTGTTTTGTTTTTGGTTTTTAGACAAAATCTCACATAGCTCAGCTGGCCTTGAACTATACAGCAGTGGATGACCTTGAACTTCTGACCCTCCTACCTCTGTCTCCCAAGTGCTGGGATTATAGGAGTGTAGCATCACCCCTAGTCTGTCTGGGAACTTTATAAATGGTGTGCATTTTTCTCTTTTCCTTTCCTTTCAGAAATCCCACCTTCCTAGGCTAAGGTGCTGGAATGTGGAGACCCTCAACCTGTCCCATCGCAGTGAAACTATGTGCACTGTACTGCTGTCCCTACTGGGGGCTCAGTCTCTCCTCCCCTGCCTCTGTTGCCGCTGACTCAGACCAATAGGGGCAGGGACTTTCCCCTGGCTATGTGCTCTCTAAGGAAGACAGTCTGGGGTCTCCTGTCCCCATGAGTGCTCCTCCCCCTGCTGCTACACCACCACCCCTTCCCTGAGGCTCCAAGGCTCAAAAAGGATGGAAATGTCTATTTTGGGAGCAAGACAGGAACAAGACAAGACCTCAGGGCCATAGCCAGTATCTTTCTGGATCCGTTGGCTTCTCAGAGGTAGCAGAGATGTCCAAAGGAAGAGCCGTGGCTCTGGACGCAGTGGAGGCTCTAAGCGTGACTCGGGCTCCCACTCCTCAGAGCTTCCTCCTGGTGATTCATCCCCTCCCCCATCCACTGGTTGTTTTCTCTGGGTTCTTCTATTTCCCCTCCTTTCTCCTGTCCCAGACTGTGGGGGTGGCGGGGGCAGCACGAGGGGGTTTCGGGTGGCTGGCTGGCTTTCATGGCTTTTTAAAACCTGTCTAAAACCCGTCTCTCCCTCGCCCACCTGAATTTTAGCATCAGTAGTTTTTCAGTTATAGGATCAGGTACGTCAGCAGAAAAAGCTTCAGAGGGGGCTGTAGAGACCACCTGCCTGGGCTAGGGGAGTGCCCACCAGCTAGAACAGCTGCTCCTGGCCCCTCTCCTCTCCCTGTGGTGGCTCCCACCGCCTTGGTTTCCAGCATTGCAGAAGCTGGAGGAACCGAGAGCTGAGAAAGGAGGGAGGCTGGCGGCAGGTTGTGGTGCACAGCGGAGCCCTGGCGGGAACTGTGGTCTTAGTGGAGAAGGAAGGGGCCTAAGCTAAGAGATGCATTCCTCTTTCTCATCCGTTCATCAAGCTTTTCATTCATTTCTGCAAAGACCTACCATGGAGTAAGAAACCCAGTCCACATCCTAAAGGAGCTATGTGGTCTTCC